CTTATGCTATTCCTGTTATTATTCAACCAGTTCAGAGAAGACAAATTATTCTGTAACTCTTCAAAAGCTTCACACATTGATTTGAATATGATACGGTGAGGCCGGATGAGGTAGCAAAAAAAAAAAATTCTGTTAGTGAAGAGGAAACGCATATAAAGACCAAGATAGACATTATTTCTAAAACAAAAATATTACTATTAATATGGATACAAATTGTTACCAGATGTGTTTTTCAGCCTTGTGATGATATTTAGTATGTATGTGCCTCGATATTGATTTATTTTCTCTGCGATTAATTTTTAAATCAGAGAAACATCCCTATCAAGTAGATTCCAAATGTTACATGTAAGAACTAAAGTACAATCTAAAAATATTAAAGTCATGTTTTCCGCAGCTTGTTTTTCACTAAAACATTTGTACAGGCACGTAAAAAATGTCTTTTAGTCTTGATGTCAAGAAGCAAAAGTCTACAATCTACGTCAAATCTTCATTTCTCACAAAGCATAAAAATAAGACGCATAAAAATACATCGCAAATGCCTTAGAATTTGGCCAGAAATTATTATTTTTTTAAAATATAATTATGCTAATTTCTTTTGGAATAGCGCATCCTTTTGCAAAAGAAAATGGAAGTAACCTTCAAATTTTGATTAGTATTTCTATTAGTTATGGAACAGAGCTGTCTTATATTGGCAAACATCTTTAAAGTATTGATTCAGGAACTTCTACTGCAACATGCACTGCTCTTTAAAATGTGATAAGTGTGATATTTGTGCATATTTTTGGGTTCAAATGGGAAAAAATTGACTATGGACTGTTGAACTATTAAATAAGAATTTTAAACCTGATCATTTATTTCGATGGTCCACTTTAGACTTTCTACTAACTAAACTTTATTTTGAAGATCCGACAACAGACTTTCTACTGACTATTACGCCACATTTACATTACATGGTTCATGTGAACCAATTCCCATTTTTTCCTCACACGTGGCACAGATCGGATATGACCCATGAACCTGTAATTGTGATATTCTCAGATCAGTTTCAGGCCTCATTCATATGTGTAAATAAATCTGATATGAATCGGATACGTGCATTTGCGAATAACACAGTTTTTACTTCATTTTCGGCCTAAGCTTTTCCGGGTCAGTTCGTCTACCCTGGGTTGTTTCGCCAAGTGTATAGTGTAAATGCTACAAGATACTGGATATGGGTCACTTTTAAAAGAACAATGTCAAAAAAAAATCAACAAATCGGTATTGAGGATCAAGACCTGCAGTGTAAATGTGGCAAGACAAGTACACATCAACTTACACTAACCCGAACCCTAGCAGTCTACTAATACTCTAATGTGAGTTAGTTTAGATGTAGTTGGAAAGTTACTTATAGTTATGGGAATGACTAAATGTAGAAAGAATCTGGTGAAGTGATATGAAACTGTAATGCAGTCATAATGCAATAGCTGTGCTGTTGTTATCAATGTGTGTCCACCAATCAGAAGCAAGAATTCATCCACACCGTATTATAGGAGACTGTAATGTGCAGTCGCTCCGTCATCAGGGGTTATTTTGCAATTATGACTGGCTGACTGTACATAGTCTCACTTATTACTTGGATACACACCAAATTATTAAATAAATGGACAAAATATTCGAGTTCTGATGATTTTATCATGTTAGAACAAGCGAAGAGTATGAGATTTGAAACTAGCACAGTCTTGAAGACTGGTTGATTAATTTGCAATGGTCAGTTTTAATTGTCACTTATACAACATATTTGACAGAGCAATCCAGTTAGAATGAGGTATTCTGATTGATCAGAGATCTATCTAATAAAATGTCTAAAGTTTGTTTTAATTAGTAATATTTTTTTATTGTTGAACTTCAGCAAACCTCTGGAGTGTTTGACAGTATTTATCCATCTGTGAATAAAGGAGCAGGAAATTGGAGAAAATGAGACGGATTCCTTTGGGAATGTTTCAGTCATTGAGCTCTCCGGATGGATTTGGGTCAGGGATGAATCTCAAGGGGTTCAGAAGGAGTGAGCCATCATCCTGTGAAGCTTCAGGGAATGTGTAATAATATGAGATTTCCATCTGCCTGTGGAGAGCTCTTATCTTCAGAGTGTATTTTTGGAAACCACAGCATTTCATACATGTAAAGGATTTATCATGCGGCGAAGCAATACCTGAAGCGGTTTAATCACTCAAAGTTGAACAACATCGCCCTCTGCTGGGAAAGCATTGAACAGCGCTGGCGTTTTAAAGGGTTAGTTCACCCCAAAAATGACAATTCTGTCAGTAATTACTCTCCCTCATGTTGTTCCAACCCCGTAAGATTTTCGTTCATCTTCGGAACACAAATTAAGATATTTTTGATTAAATCTGAGAGCTGGATCACTCCTCCATAGGCTTCTAAGGGATCGAAACTGGCCGGCCTAAAAGTTATAAAAGACATCGTTAAAATAGTCCGAGTGACTACAGTGGCTCAACCTTAAGTTTATCAAGCGACGAGAATACTTTTTGTGCGCAAAAAACAAACAAAAATAACGACTTTATTCAACTATTCATTTCCTTCTCTGTGGGCCTCGAGATTTCACGTAGTGTAACAGCGCAGCGCTTCTGTGTTGTACGTCACACGCATCACACACACACATGACCAGCGTCGGCTAATAGTGAGCCTCCGTGTGATGTGCAACACAGAAGCGCTGCGCTGTTACACTACGTGAAATCTCGAGGCCAACAGAGAAGGAAATGAATAGTTGAATAAAGTCGTTATTTTTGTTTGTTTTTTGCGCACAAAAAGTATTCTCGTCGCTTGATAAACTTAAGATTGAGCCACTGTCGTCACTCGGACTATTTTAACGATGTCTTTAACTTTTAGGCCGGCCAGTTTCGATCACATTTAGCATTTCCATATCCCATACTTTTCCAGACTCAAATTTCCAAACCTCCCTGTAGATTTTTCAGACCAAATTTAACATTAATGGTTCACACAGCATTATATTTGATACAGTCATCTGTAAATACTTGTATTCATTGGTTTTCTCGAAGTGATAACATTCGCTTGCATGATGAGGAGAAACTTAAAACACGTTGTAACCTCATGTATTCACCTGTGACACAAGGGTTTGATACTGTAATTGTGGTTTGATGTTGCACAGTCTCCAAGTACTGTCTGATTTAGATGATCATTCGCTGCTTTGATCTGTTGCTGGTTTGAGTGGCATTTGATTCAATATTCTTTAAGTGAAGTTCAAGACAAACCATTTAGTGTAATGAAAAAGTATTGTGCTTGACAATTACTAAAGGAACACTTTTGCCATGAAAACACTTGTTTAGAAATTTTTAATTTTATATTTTAGACATCTAAATAGGGGCAATAGTCTAGAAACACATATTTTTTCCATACTCTGTTTTTGCCCCATACATCAAATGTCTGGAAAATACTTTTCCAAAGTACGTATAGGAACCCTAAAGGATTGAGGACCGCTACAAGTTACAACATTGTGTTGTTGTGTCCCTCTAAATGGCAAACAAACATATTGCAGATTGTACTTTTGTATTTTTATTGTTTGACTTTTCCTTTTATTGCTTTCTACCTTTCTACCACTGGAAGGTCAATTCCTGGTTATGCATTACCTGTAAATAATGATTATAATAATAATGTTTAATATGCAATAATAATAATTTAAGATACTATTTCTATAAAAGTGTATAACCAGACATATATTCTTCACAGAAATCATCAAATTATTGCTACATTCAAAAAAAAAAAAAAAATGATGTAAATTCAAATTGTGAATGATGTCAGATAACTATTTTTGTATAAGTCAAAGAGATATTACAACAGACTAACAGGGTGGAAAGTGCATTTGAGGACAAGAATATCCTATAAATTAACAACCAACTAAAGCCATATTCCCAAAAAAACAAACAAAAAAACACATTCTACTGTAAACTTTCTAGAATATTTATTAGTAAAGTTTTTCATTTTGCCGGGGACATGGTAAACATAGCAGCATCACAGATTCGCTCCACGTTCACTTTAATTGTCATAAAGAAAACTATGATTTAAAAACCTCCTCACTTTCTGGGTCTGTTTTCACTTTCCTGTTTCCTAATTTACACCCAATCCTAGAGATGCACAAACTTCAGGACTTTTTCTGTCAGTGTAGTGTGTAATATCAATCACAGATCTGCAGCATTTTCTTATACCATGCATGTAAAATATTTCTATCCAGTAGAAAATATGCTGTAAGAATGTAATTAAATTCATTAAATACAATGATTCTTTCACTAAATTCAATTCGTTGTGAAATCTGAAATTTTAAAATTCTGTTTCAGTCAAGTACATTTAGACTACCGGTATTATAGTAATTATAAAACCATATAGTCTGTGTGTTAAGTACATTTATATTATTGGTGTAGATAGCAGATTCAATGCTTTATAATGCGTTATCATGCATGTTTACAGTTCACCCAAAAATAAAAATCATTTTCTCACCCTCAAGTTGTTCCAAACCTGTATGAATTTCTTTCTTCTTTTTTTCTGCTGGTCCCCATTGACTTCCACTGTATTTCTTTCTCTCCATACTATGGAAGTCAATGGGGACCATCTACTATCTGGTCCTGACATTCTTCAAAATATCTACTTTTGTGTTCAGCAGAAGATAGAAACTCATACAGGTTTGAGGGTGAGTAAATGAAGACAGAATTTAAATTTCGGGGAAAAAATGAAATCTGGGGAAAAAAGTTTGCAACACCATTTTTCCGTGAATGAGCGAGACTTCTGGTTCATCAGCAAGTAGCTAGAAGAATAACCGGAAACCTCGCAAATTCAAGTTACAATCGCGCCTGCTCTTACATATATCAAAGGCTGTTATTTAATGCTTTTTTGTTGTTGAGTTATCCGCCCTCCTCTCCTGTTTGTTTCTTTCACAGCCAGTGTTGCTGTCCTCTGGTCAGACCCCTCTGTACACGTCTGCGGTCTCCACACTGGTAAGCACACTAATGCTTCACTGCCCCTGCTGTCCGGGAGGCATAACTGCACCTGCTGTGTGTGTGTGTGTGATCATTCCATCATCCTTTTTCATGCCATTTGATCACATCATTATAACCGTGGAAATATCTCACCCAACCAATCTTGTTGGGTTCATCTACAGCAGTGGTTCTCATCCTTTTTTACTCAAAGCCTGTCATTGTCCAACACAATCGATTTCCTACGGTATTACTGCTGTAATTATGACAACGCTGCTTGTTTTCAAGTTTTTTTATGAACAGAAACTGGGAATGTTGACACATTTATTTTGTGATTCTATGAGATTCAAGATTATGTAGGTTTAACAATAAACATACTATAGTTATTGAGGAGAAAAAAATATGATTTCAGTTTACATCTTGATTTTTAGTGTTTTAACCGATTAATTATATGAGAACTTCTGATAGGGAATGTGAATAAAATTGTTAATAATCAAGTCAAACTCATCACCATTTCTACAATGGTTACTGGAAAAAAAATATGAATGACACTTCCTTTGTGACATTGTTCTTCACAGTGGCATTATAATAATTAATTGGTATTATCTTCATAAAGGTCATTGAACTGGGTCGTCAAATTGTCAAGTCAAATTTAAGTCAAGTTAATGTTTATAATATCTTCAATATATTCATGCCTTATATTCGCATAATAAGGCATTCGAGTACTACTGTAGTACATGTATCGCCTTAAGAGTCTGTATGAAATGGCTGTGATGATGGGCCAAATTACATCTCTCTCTCACACACACACACACACACACACACACGCGCGCGCACACACACACACACACACACATGCGCACACACGCGCACACACACACACACACACACACACACACACGTGAATTTACATACTGATGAAGAAAAACAAGTTGAACATCAAAACTCAACAAGTAGAAATGACAGAAATTGTTGTTACAAGTTAAATGGATGCAAACAAAGATGGCGTTTTAACATAAATCATTTTTTAGTTTTTTTTTCTGCATTGCATCAATGTCAGGTTGTTTTCACAGTTGCTTTCTTCATATTTCTATATGGTATTTCTCTGCCGCCTGAAGTCATCATTTTCTCTGTGCTGTCAGACCCACATCAGCAAACTCATCACTCTGCTGCAGAGTATCAACTTTACACACACACACACACACACACACACACACACACACACACACACACACACACACACACACACACACACACTATCCATACACAGGTACTTTGACTGTATATTGTCTCTGCAGTTTCAGTCTATTATTTCTGACAGCTCATATATCTGCCTGGAACGATGTTGTTTTCTTCTAGATCTGCTTAACGCGTCTCACTATGATGCAAATATTCCTCTAACACGTGTGCTATGTGTTGGATGGCTAGAATTAAGGTTTTATTAAAACAATGTGCTAAATGCATCAACTAATCAACACTGTCAGATAATCATTTTTAATAATGTTCCTTCAGTTACTGGAGGAGAAAAAGAGCCGGAGAGAAAGATCTTAGTTTGATTTCATACTCCAATATACACAAATTATATTTAAAAAAGGAGTATTTTGGTTCAGTGTATTGACCCATCTTTCTCTTTCTTTGAGTTAATGTAGTGCCTTCAATCCTCCTGTAGAGGGCAGTGTGCTGTCAGCTCTGTCACAGACGTGATTAGTAAACCTGAGCTTATGTTTCAAAGAGTTACTTTTGACTGACGCATCTACTTTGTTTTAGATTTTTCTTCTAAAATGCCTTAAAGGTAATGAAAATAGACACAAACACATCAATCGTTGAGGCAGATAAAATTAGCTCTGGCTCTGGACTTGATATTTTCATCTTAGACTTTGGTTTCTTGGCAAATCTGAGACGTTGAGATCTCTTTTGAAACTCTGTAGGAAAAACGTGAGATTATTGGGATCGTTTCCTTATGTGAGAAGCAGGAGACTTGATTTGCTCTCATGAAACTGAAGGTGCGATAGTCTATTCTTCCCTATTGTGACGTATATCTGAGTAAAACGGCTTCTCGAACAAGAACAAATGAAGGGAACTGACTTTGGGAATTGATTGGATGGTGGTGGTTTGCTATTGGTGGATCTCATGTGAGTGACAGGTTGCTCCGCCCTTGTGTCAGTAAACACATCATCAGAAGAGAAGAGTTTCTGTCTACTACTCTAAAAAGAAGACATGTTATGGAGACAAAATACTTCAAAATCTCAAAATTGACGAGTTAGTGTAAAAAACAACAACAATGGGGTTGTCTGTAGTTTCATGCCTTAATCTCATTGCTGTCTAAGAGAAACAATTGAGATATAAAATAGATTTGACTGGGAATATAGGATCTTTCCCGTATGGGTGAACACACACACACACACACACACACACACACACACACACACACACACGCATAGCACTCAAACATTTTAAACAGGAGGTTGAGACAGTTAGACTCTGGTGTCCATAGCAACGGAACTGCTGCTGTTGATATTAACACGTTTGAAGTGCCAAGGAGGCAAGTGAAATCTTCCTAAGCTTCCCTCTCTCACACACACACTCAAACACTCGTTTTCCATTTCTAAATGACAGGCTGATGTGGTGAGAGGAGAAAACACACACACACACACACACACAGCAGGGTACAGGAACCAGCAAACACCGAACACTCATCCACAGAGAACATGGATGGGTGAGGAGTACAAAAGAATTATGTAATTATAGACGAACAACCGATAGAACGATAGATAGATAGATAGATAGATAGACCGATAGATAGATTGCTAGATAGATGGATAGATAGATAGATAGATAGAGAGAACAACCGATAGGACAATAGTGAAAATGATAGATAGATAGATAGATAGATAGATAGATAGATAGATAGATAGATAGATAGATAGATAGAACGATAGATAGATAGATAGATAGATAGATAGATAGATAGATAGATAGATAGATAGATAGATAGATAGATAGATAGTGAGAACGATAGATAGATAGATAGATACACTGTAAAAAATGATTGTGATTTTAACGGTAAAACACTGTAAAAATGCTACAGTGAAAAACTGTTAATTGGTTAACAGAAAGTTTCCTTACTATATACGGTAAATAACTGTGATATATATAATGGTACATTTAATTTAATTTTACTGTAAAATACCGTTAAATTTACAGTTTTTGGAAGTGAAAAAGAACAAGTCATTGTATAATTTACAGTGAAAAAATGTAAATTGACATTCCCACAATTCCCTGCGTGACACTTCACATTTGATGTATTTTGTTTTAAATAACTGTTTCTTCATAATTTTCTTAGTTTTTTTCTAATCAGTTATGTACATTAGGGTTTTATGTTACATTTAATGTTGTTAAATTAATGCTTATTGCATTTTTTAAATTTCAACATGTTACCATGATGGTGTTTAATGTTTGTGTGAATGACACTGTGCAGCTTCTGTATATTAGTATTAACTCTCTTGTGGATGAGCTGCTTATGATGAGCTTTGGTTGACCATTTGACTCTCATCACTGCTGTGATTGTTGGCTGTCAGTGTATTACAATGGAAAAAAACAGATGTTAATACTTCAAAAGGATAATGAAATATCAGATAATGAAATACGGTTTATCGCTGTAAAATTATATACGGTTAAAAGTTGTAAAACCTAAAATGTTGCTACCGTATTTTTAACAGGAAAACTCTGGTAACCACAGCTGCCAGGGTTTTCCTGTAAATTTAACAGTTTTTTTTTTACAGTGTAGATAAATAGAGAGAACAACCGATAGGACAATAGATAGATTGATAGAACGATAGATAGATATATATATAGATAGATAGATAGATAGAGAGAACAACCGATAGGACAATAGATAGATTGATAGAACGATAGATAGAACGATAGATAGATAGATAGATAGATAGATAGATAGATAGATAGATAGATGGATAGATGGAACGATAGATAGAACGATAGATAGAATGATAGATAGATAGATAGACAGACAGACAGACAGACAGACAGACAGACAGACAGACAGACAGACAGACAGATAGATAGATAGATAGATAGATAGATAGATAGATAGATAGATAGATAGATAGAACGATAGATAGATAGATAGATAGATAGATAGATAGATAGATAGATAGATAGATAGATAGATAGATAGATAGATAGATAGATAGATAGATAGATAGATAGATAGATAGATAGATAGATGGATAGATAGATAGATAGATAGATAGATAGATAGATAGATAGATAGATAGATAGATAGATAGATAGATGGATAGATGGAACGATAGATAGAACGATAGATAGAATGATAGATAGATAGATAGACAGACAGACAGACAGACAGACAGACAGACAGACAGACAGACAGACAGATAGATAGATAGATAGATAGATAGATAGATAGATAGATAGATAGATAGATTGATAGAACGATAGATAGATAGATAGATAGATAGATAGATAGATAGATAGATAGGTAGATAGATAGATAGATAGATAGATAGATAGATAGATAGATAGATAGATAGATAGATAGATAGATAGATAGATAGATAGATAGATATGTAGATTTAGCAGGGAACACTGGGTAAACAGACATCACTGTTTGTGGAATCAAATTAGTATATCATAATAACACTTCTGTACGCTCATGGCAAGGAGCAAAAAGCAGAGGAAAATGAATTAGTGTGTGCATGCCTTAGTATGCATATGAATATGAATATGTGTGAGTGTGTGGGTGTTTTTATTGCTGCACTGAACAGTATATGAACAGAATCGGCTCTGTTGCGTAACAAGCTCTGATGTCACTGGACCTCTAATTGGCTGCCGGTTTGATTTGCATATAGCACAAATTGCTTTGTGAGTGTAAAAAAGCAACGTTATAATAAAAAAAGCATATTGGAATAGTGGAATTAATTAATTAATTAATTAATCATACTTTGTTCATAATAGATAAATAAAGAGCTGAGATCATGAAA